ATCGCGACTAGCTAATCCTAAAATCCCACAGTTGTAATTCCAAGTAATTAATTTAAATAACGCAGCGAAATAAAATAAAGGAGGTAGAGTAATATCTAAAGTGTACATGGAAATTATTATTTATGTAACGATGTAACATCAGTCAGATAATGATTACAAGAAAGAAAAAAAAACATGATATCCCTAACAAATTTGAGGTTATGATCCACAGGATAAAACCATCCTTTTTAAATTTCTTCACCTGAAAGGGGTTTTAATAGCTATAAGCACATGGCAAAGTGATAAATATTATACTGAGAGCATGAGGGTGTAAAATCACCATGGATAATTATTTAGGCTAAAGATGAATAGTTTGATTATTATATAGCACAAAATTTTATAAACAAAATAATCATAATCATGGTACAGAACAAAACAGAGGGTCACGAAGTGACTAATCAGAGGGCCAAAGGTTATTTAAGTCTCCCAAGACATGAGATTGTCAAAGGGTCACTAAAGTGACAATTCAGAGGGCCAGTAATTATTTAAGTCCCCTAAGGCATGGGACCTCCGTAGTGGTACTTATTCAAAACAAACATATCCATGGGTTTCAATTTAAACAAATAAAGTTTAGAAAATAATCCATGTAATTAAAACATTAACATAACAATAAAACATAATTTATATAAAAGAAATTTGTGATAATTCAAAACATTCGTAAAATATATTATGGCAACTCAAGACATATATAAAACATATTATGGTGGTTCAAGGTATAATATCACTCACTTAAATAGTAACTCCTATTCGTGCTCCCCTTCACCGCGTGCTGACTCTTTCCTCCCGATTTCATTTGTTTTGTGTTTTTTTGTTTTCCTTGATTTCCTATTCACCTCAACTCCCCTATTTATACTAAGCCTCATACTTGCTCAGCAAGTACATAGGGTGACACGTTGCCTAAGCTAAGTCATTATGATGCTTATCCCTCAGATATGAGATATGAACTTATCCCAAATGGATAAGTTTAATTAGTTTATTTATTTATTTATCTTTGGCCCAAATTCTAATATAATTAAACCATTGGATTACATTTTAGCACACGTCATTTAAATGTTTTCCTAGTATTTTTATTTGTATTTTATTTATTTATTTATTATCATTTTTATTTTATTTATTTATTTATTTATTTGTAAATTAATTAACCAATTAGGGTGTCACATTTCTCCCCTCCTAAATGGAAGTTTGTCCTCAAACTTGACGTATCTTGATTTTCAAAAAGGTGTGGGTGTTTGGCTCGCATTTGGTTTTCAGTTTCCCACGTAGCTTCTTCGATACGATGATTTCGCCAAAAACTTTGACAAGAGGTATAGTCTTGTTTCGGAGAATTTGATCTCGACGATCGAGGATCTGCACGGGTTGTTTTTCATAAGAGAGATTTTCTTGAACTTCGAGGCTCTTATAATTGAAAACATGTTCTGGATCTCGAAAATATCGTCGAAGCATCGAAACATGGAACACATTGTGAACAATGGACAATTCTGGTGAAGAGCAAGATGGTATGCTACAGGGTCGATTCTCTCTAGTATTTCAAATGGTCCGACGTAACACAGATTCAACTTTCCTCGTTTTCCAAACCGGATGACTCCTCTTGTTGGTGAAACTTTTAAAAAAACGTGCTCTCCTACCTAAAATTCCAAATCTCGTCTCTATATATCCGCATAGCTTTTCTGGAGACTTTGAGCTGTGCGAATTCGTTGTTGGATGAGTTGAACCTTATCACTCGTTATTTGTACGATTTTGGGGCCTAATAGTTTCCTATCTCCGACTTTTGCCCAATATAGAGGTGACCGACATCTCCTTCCATACAATGCTTCATATGGTGTAATATCGATGCTTGCGTGGTGGCCGTTGTTATAGGAGAATTCCACTAGAGGTAGGTGCTCATCCCAATTACCCTTGTGGTCCAACACACACATCCATAGCATGTCCTCCAAAGTTTGGATTGTTCTTTCAGATTGCCCATTAGTTTGCGGGTGATAAGCAGTGCTAAACTTCAGTGTTGTTCCCAAAGCTTCTTGCAATCTGTTCCAGAAGTGAGATACAAAGCGGGGGTCTCGGTCAGACACGATTGACCCTGGGGTACCATGCAATCGAATGATTTCTTTGATGTATAGAGTGGTGAACTTAGTAAGGGAGTACGTGATTCTGATTGGTAGGAAATGCCCTGACTTCGTTAATCGGTCTATTATAACCTATATCGCATCATTCTTTGAAACTGACTGTGGTAGCTCGACCACGAAGTCTATAGTAATGTGCTCCCATTTCCATTCAAAAATAGGGAATGGTTGCAGTATCCCTGCAGATCTCTGATATTCCACTTTAACCCGTTGACATTGCAAGCATTTGGAGACGTGGCTTGCTATGTCCTTTTTCATTCCTGTCCACCAGTAATGTTCTATCAGATTGTGATACATCTTGGTGTTGCCAGGGTGGACTGCAAATCTCGAGCTATGAGCCTCCACCAATATTTTCTTCTTGAGTTCTGGGACGTCGGGTATGCAAATTCGATTTCAAAATTTTAGCATCCTATTGCTTATAGTGAAGTCAGGATTAGAGTAGTTTTTTGCTCCTCGTACTTTTTCTTCAAAAGTTTGTCTTCACCTTGGCGTGTTTTAATTTCTTCAATCAATGTGGGTTCCACAATTACGTTGGCGAGTAGTCCATTGATCTTGCGGGGGACGAGCATACATGCCAAACTTTTGGTAGTCTTTCGACTTAATGTGTCAGCTACCACGTTAGCTTTGCCCGGATGGTGATGGATTTCTACATCGTAGTCCTTCATAAATTCTAACCATTGACGTTGCCGCATATTCAGTTCCTATTGCGTAAACAGATATTTAAGACTCTTGTGATCGATATAAATCTCGCAGGTTGCACCGTAAAGATAATGACGCCAGATTTTGAGGGCGAAGATTACTGCAGCCAATTCTAGATCGTGAGTTGGGTAGTTCTTCTCGTGAGTCTTCAGTTGTCGCGAGGCATATGCAATGACTTTCTCATTCTGCATAAGAACGCAACCCAACCCATTGTATAAGGCATCGCTATAAATTACTAACCCATCAGTTCATGTGGGGAGTGCTAGTATAGGAGCTGTCACAAGCCTATTTTTCAACTCCTGAAAGCAACGTTCTTGCTTGTCAGTCCATTCAAAGAGTGTATTCTTCTGAGTTAGCTGGGTCAAGGGTGATGCTATCTTCGAGCAATCTTGAGCGAAGCGTCAATAATAGCCGACTAGACCCAAGAAGCTTCGAATTTCGGACACGTTAGTAGGTCGTGGCCAATCCACGATTGCTGTAACTTTTTGGGGGTCAACTGAGATGCCATCTTTGTTGATGACGTGGTCGAGGAAGTGCACACTAGTGATCCAGAATTCGCATTTGTTCAACTTGGCATAAAGTTTGTGATCACGTAATGTTTGCAGCACTGTTCGTAAGTGTCGCTCATGATCCTCTGGTGACTTGGAGTATACGAGAATGTCGTCAATGAAGACGATGATGAACTCATCAAGATATGGTTTGAACATTCGGTTCATAAAGTCCATGAAGGTCGCTGAAGCATTTGTGACGCCAAATGGCATGACAAGGAACTCATAGTGTTCGTAACGTGTTCTGAAGGTCGTCTTCTCGATGCTTTCCATTTTGACTTTTAGTTGATGATAGTCGGAACGCAAGTCGATTTTGGAGAATACTTAGGCCCCTTGAAGTTGGTCAAACAAGTCATCGATTCTTGGCAAAAGGGTATCGATTCTTGATGGTGACTTTGTTCAGCTCCCAGTAATCGATGCATAACCTCATCGTGCCATCTTTTTTCTTTACGAACAGTACTGAAGCTCTCCATGGTGAGGCACTTGGTTGAATGAAGCCTTTGTTTAGGAGTTCCTAGAGTTGGGTTTTTAGTTCCTTTAATTCCATCAATGACATGCGGTAAGGAGTTTTGGAGATTGGTTGTGCATTGGGTTGAGTGTCGATGGTGAACTCGATTTCTTGATCAACTAAGGTACCAGGTAAGTCTTCAGGGAAAACATCAGGAAATTCTCGAACGACCGGTATTGAATCGAGTGTTGGGTTTATTTGTTGAGTGTCGGCCACATAACAAATACAACCACCACAACCTTTTCTCAAAAGTTGATGGGCTATCACGGAGGATATCATATACGGAGGGGTAGAAACTCCAGTTCCTTCGAAAACCAGCTCGCGTTGGTCGGGTAACCGAAGAAAGATCTTTTTGGTCGTACAGTCGATAGAGGCATGGTTGGTAGCAAGCCAATCTGTCCCTAAGATTATGTCGAAGCTACTAATGTAGAGTGGAATTAGATCTACATACAAGGTTTCATCCTTTAAGGATATAACACAGGACTTGTATACCTTTGTACTAAGTGCGGTGACACCAAATGGAAAAGCCACAGATAATGCATATCCCAATGGTTCAGGTGTTGATGTTAACTTGGAAACAAAGTGTGGTGCCACAAACGAATGAGTGGAACCAGAGTCAAAGAGAACACGTGCTAAGTGACCACAGACAGAAAGTGTACCTGCCACAACATTCTCCATAGCATTGGAGTTTTTAGGTACTAATGCAAAAGCTCTTAGTTGGCATCCCTATTCCTTCTTCCCTCCTGTGGCGGTTTCTAGTTTCTGAGCTAGTTTAGAGGTACTTATCACAAAGTTGGTGAATTTCGGGCAGTTTTTCATTACATGGCCAACTTGGCCACATCTATAACATGCTTCTATTAACCGAAAGCACTGTCCCCTATGAGCCTTTTCGCAACTCCGACAATTTGGAATGGTGCTACCCTTGGGAATAGTAAAACCTTGGTTGGCCGAACCAGTTGAGCTAGTAGATCCAGAATTTACTTTCTTTGGTGGGGCTGCCTTTGATCCTCCAACTGGTTCCCAAAACCGCCTCTTTTGACCCATTTCACTGGAACGTGTGGTTTTAATTCCTTTTTTGGCAATATATGTTCAATCCACCACCTTTGCATAGGTTGGTAGTTTTAGAACCTCAAGCCTATCTTTGATTTCCACATCTAATCCTGCTTTAAATTTCCTTGCTTTTCGGGCTTCTGTCGGAATAACATACGGTGCAAATCGTGCTAGTCGTGTGAACTTACTTTCATACTCCGCCACCGACATTGTTCCTTGCCTCAAATGTAGGAACTCGGATGCCTTCTGCTCCCGTAGTGATTCTGGAAAATACTTTTCATAGAACACCTCCAAGAATCTCGCCCAAGTCACGATCTCTTCTTTTTCTAAGGTGAGAAGCCACCATTCTTGCGCATCTTCCTTGAAGGTGAAAGTGGCGAATGATACTTTCTGTTCTTCTGTGCAGGGTAAGGCACGAAAATTTTTCTCCATTTCTTTAACCCAAGCTTCAGCTATCAACGGATTTGAACCTCCTGTGAACGTGGAAGGATTCAGGTCTGGGAATTGTTTAATCGTAGTTGTCCTTTCTCGATGTTCTGGTGACCCATTGTTCTGCAAGGCTTGCAAGAAACTGGTAATAGCTCTCTCCACAATCCGTTCCATTGGATCGGCTCCATTGGATGATGACCCGGTACCATTTCCATCGTTAGCCATAGCTATAAAACAATTTTAATAAACGTGGTGCATGATTTCTATCAATTACCTAAATTAAAACATATTCACATAATCTACAAAACATAGATAATATATTACTCACAAAACACCGGTTTTATTTATGTATAATGGTGTTAGTACATTACTTGTAGTTATGTCAATTTTAGTGCCTAACCCTCCGTGACAAAATGGGTTAGAACTAGATCTTGGTCAGCTTGTTTAGACACCAAACAAAAGAAAAACAAAAAACAGCAAAAGAAAGGATTTTGTTATCAGGATCTTAGGTTGAAAACAACCATGGGTACTGCAGCTGCATGTGATGCTCAAACTCCTATCCATTTTGCTCTATGCCAAAACATCGCCATGCCACCTCCACTTGGTATATGGGGATGCCTACCTCGTAACCCCACAGTTATCGTCCTATGATACGCACAGGTACCTCCACATATGTCGTAATGTCACCAAAGTCGATCGCCTGAGTATCAATTAGGTTTTGAGGGGAAGGGACTCTTGCTTGAATGTGATCACTTAAGAAGGCCTTTCCTTCCTGAGTCATAAACTCTAAAGGTAAAGGTGCCACTAAATAACGAGGATATTCCTGACTCGGGGCCATGCCTACTACCCATGTAGGTTCTAAAAACCTGTCTAAGGCACTCATAGCGTCAACCCTCCACCACTGTGTGTCTACTACTGTGGGGACAACCCTTAAGTATACTGGTCGGCCCATAAGTCAATTGAGGATCGGGGCTGCCCGTCTAACTATTGCTTCAGAGTCTTCTATTTCCTCTGGTAAGTTTGGAACGTAATTATTATTTTCAAAAATTCCTTCAATGTCCGAGGGATCAGGCCTATACCAAAAAGAGTCGCCAAAGTTAAGTTCTGACATTGCCTGCACCACAAGATGCCCAACTTAGCTATAGAACCAAGAAAAGACTTATCACGATAAGGACTAAGGTAAGATTGTAAGGACTAAGATAATTTTTTATTTTTTTTTAAACCATTGCTCTGATACCACTTTTGTCACGACCCATCCCGATGACCAAGGCTGGATCGCGACTAGCTATCCTAAAATCCCACACAGTAATTCCAAGTAATTAATTTGAATAATGCAGTGAAATAAAATTAAAGGGGTAGATTGATATCCAAAGCGTACATGAAAATTTTTATTTATGATATAACATTAGTTGGATGATGACTACAAGAAAAAAAAACATGATATCTATATCAAATTTGAAGTTTTGATCCACAGGGTAAAAACCATCCTTCTTTAAATTTCTTCACCTGAAAAGGTTTTTAACAGCTATAAGCACATGACAGAGTGAGAAATATTATACTGAGAGCATGAGGGTATAAAATCACCATGGATAATTATTTAGGTTAAATGATGAATAGTTTGGTTCAGATAAATTATTTTAAATAACAGACATACATTACAAAAATCGTATATGTAAAACAATCATAACCACGGTATAGAACAGAACAGATGGTCAATGGTGGCTTAGGTCCCCCAAGGCATAGGACCGTCAAAAGGTCACTAAAATGACAATTTAGAGAGCCAATGGTTATTTAAGTCCCCCGAGGCATGGGACCTCCGTGGTGGTACTTATAAAAATAAATGGTTATATACTCATTGTCCATAAATTCTAAAATTTAAACAATCATATCCATGAGTTTCAATTTTAAATAAGCAAGGCTCATAAAATGAATAACATAATTGAATGTTAATATAATTAAAAAACATGATTTGCATAAAATAATTTATGGCTACTCAAGGTATAATATAACTCACCTTAGTGTAGATTCTTTCTACCTATTTCTGATGTGAGCCTTTTTCACCTCTACCTATTTTAATTTATCATTCTCCTTATTATTACTATTACCATTATTATTTTTTCCCCCTCGTCCTCAGGTTATGAGCTCAGTTCACTATTTATATCGAGCTTTCTACCATAGCTACATCAATTACCCTATCAATAGACCTCCCACGTTGCTGGGTAGACACCCACGTCGCTTGCTATAGCAATGCCACCTTTCTTTTCCTAGGCAATTTAACCAATTCATGGACAACTCAAAGGAACATCTCATGCAACACTTTAAGCCTAATTACCTTATGGGCCATAAATTGAAATACTTACATCTCTCTTTTTTTCTTCTTTTTTTTTTTGTTTTTTTGGTAACACATAAGTATTCCTAGTTTAAAATTAATTACATTTTATCACATACAATTATAAAATTAAATATACTATTATGTGTATATATTTATTAATTTATTTATTTACTTATTTATTCATTTTATTATTATTGTTATTATTATTATTATTATTATTATTATTATTATTATTATTATTATTATTATTATTATTATTATTATTATTATTATTATTATTATTATTATTATTATTATTATTATTATTATTATTATTATTATTATTATTATTATTATTATTATTATTATTATTATTATTATTATTATTATTATTATTATTATTATTATTATTATTATTATTATTATTATTATTATTATTATTATTATTATTATTATTATTATTATTATTATTATTATTATTATTATTATTATTATTATTATTATTATTATTATTATTATTATTATTATTATTATTATTATTATTATTATTATTATTATTATTA